TGCTAGGAGAAGGCGCGTGCTGGGAGACGGCGCATGCTGGGAGAAGGCGCACACTGGGACAAGGCGCGCTGGGAGAAGGCGTGAGCTGGGAGAAGGCTGAGCTGGGAGAAGGTGCACTGGGAGAAGGCGCACTGGGAGAAGGCGCACTGGGAGAAGGTGCACTGGGAGAAGGCGTGAGCTGGGAGAAGGCTGAGCTGGGAGAAGGTGCACTGGGAGAAGGCGCACACTGGGAGAAGGCACACACTGGGAGAAGGCGCACACTGGGAGAAGGCGCACACTGGGAGAAGGCGCACACTGGGACAAGGCGCGCTGGGAGAAGGCGCGTGCTTGCTCATGCTCGGGGAAGGCGTGGCCACTCTAGGGAACGAGTGAAGTAGCGGGAGGCACTAGGCAGGGCTCCCTGGAGTGAGCAACCCTCCACTCGCTGCAAGTCTGAAACAAGTACCTCTTGATCTTTCTTCAGCCCATCAGCAAAAGTCAAGTCTCAGATCCCACAAGGGGGAAAGTGGGAGCTGAAGGAGAGTTCATCCCAATGAACGAGGGGACCTGGGGGAGACCTGGGGAAGGAAAGTGCCTTTCTTGGCAGGCAGCCGTCAGGCCCTTCCATGCGATTATCTGCTCTGAGCAGCTGGTCACCGGGTGCTCGGAAATAAAGCGCCGCGGCCTCCCCGCGATGCGGGGAAATGACAGGAACAGAGATGTGGCCAGTGCAGGGGTGGGAGAGTGTGCAAACGACTGCATTCTGCCCAGGCCCTCAAGGGAAACTACAGCACCGCAGTCCGGCCAGGCTCACAGGTCAGGGTCCCTCTGCTGCACGCTGCCTGACCACAGCGATTTCTATTTCCAGTTTCAGAATCAGTCACAGTGCAGGCTACTTGCACACTGAGAGACAACACTGGAGGAAACACTGAGAGGGGAAACACTGAGAGGCTGAAATGTCCTTGAATGTACCTGGAAATACTGATGCTTTTCTGGTAAGAGCAGCAGCCCATTAAGGAAGCAGGCAGGCAAAGAACAGCAGCCGTCTCCTGGGCTCCAACCTCCACAGGGCAAGCACTTGCCACGCCGCCCAGGCCACGCGACTCGTGGCCACTGCCAGGCTGAGGCAGAGATGGGCCCTGCATTTTTCAGTCGCCTTTTCTCACTTGTCCATTTTCCCCAGGTGGGAACTCATTGTGTGTGGCGGGGGGGAGGGGAGGGGAGGGCTCATGAAGGGCAAGTTCAAACCTTCCAGACTTAAGGAGCCCACCCAAGGGCTGGGGCCCAGTTTCATGTTCGTTTTCTTAAAGAAGTCTCCACGTGTGTGAACTTCAGGAGCCTCAAAATTCTGTCCAGATACAAGAAGTGGAATGGATGTGACTCAAATCTAGAAGACTCAAAGGTGACAGGTGGAAAACTCTACATAACATCTAGTAAACTCAAAGATGACAGCTGGAAACTTTATGTCCCATCTCCACAGACCACTTCATCTCACTTGGTTCCCGTGTTCCCTTTTTCAGGTAGGAGGAAAGTTACCTTAGAATCCGAGCAAAGTACTGACTTTCAGGGGTTCAACTGGAGCCCTCAGAGAAGAGTAGAGAAAGGAGACTCTGAGTCTCTTGTCATAGGTGCCGCTCATGATTGCCACCGCCCAGGTTCTGCCAGGCACCCACCTGATCAGGAAGTTTAGCATGTCCCCTGCACACATTCTCAGAGCATGGGAAACCACCATGAGTGCCCGTTCTACATACAAGGAGAGTGAGGCTTGGCGGGCTTCAGGAGTTTACCGAAAGTCACACTCTGTCTGGGTCTGGCTGACTCCAGAGCCTGATGCCTTGTTTAGGCAGAGAAGGAACTAGAATCTCCCACTTTCTTAGCTTTTCTAACTTCTTAATAGATTCTTTAGGGTTTCCTCTCATAACCTCTCCTCTTGCCAATATGTTTGTTTGGGAGTTAAGGAAGCATAATTGAATTGAAATTTGACTCCAGCTAGTTAATTTTTTTGCTTTAAAAAGTCACATTTATGTCCCACCTCAAAACTAAAGATGATGGTGAGCAAAGGAATCTGGGTCTCCGCAGCCAATTCAGAGCAGAGCAGTAATAAGCTGCCATGTAAGAATGTACAAGCCAGGGCCCTCCCTGGTGGCGCCATGGGTTAAAGCACAGCACTATGAAGCCGCAGCCCGAGTTCGATCCCTGGCTAGAGAGTGACACGTGTCGCGTGGCAGACCTCTCCTGACCCGCCCGGTGCTCCTCTCAGCAGTATAGTGAAGCCTCTCACACCCTGCACCTCTGGCCTGTATCCCAGCTCTGTATGCATGAATAAATAAATCTTAAAAAAAAAAATGCACAAGCCATAGAACTCACACTACTTTCTCACATGAACTTCAGAACAACTCACCCCAGATGGCTTTTCTGGAGTGATTTTTTTTTTACTAGGGTGCCTCCTCCCCCCAGTTCCATCATTACCCTACATTTCATGCTGCTGCTCAACACAGTGTCCAATCACTCTTCCCCTGGTTTTGCTTCCCACTTTCTCAATGTCATCAAAATAAGACCATTCATATTAACCGTCCCACTTGTCCAGATGGCTGGACTTGACTGTCAGCCTACCTTGGCATCTGCGTCCAGAGAGAGACCAGAGAGCCTGTTATGGAGAGAAGGAAGTCTTCATGTTATGGAGAGAAGGAAGTCTTCATGTGAATAACTGATGTATTTCTCTTTCCTTCCTGTAAATAAAGTGTTGAAGCCTGCACCGGTGGCCCGCCCTGTTCTCTGTGGCTACCCCCACATCCCTAAGAGGCCAGGTAGCAAAAGCCGCCCCGAGCCACACCCAGAGGCTGTGTGTGCCAAGAGTTGACACTTTAGCTGCAGGAAAGTCCGAGCTGTGGTCACTGAAATGTTTCATCCCTACCAAAGAAACCCCAGTTGAGAGAGAGGCTTCAACATAAATGTTCCCACACTCGCAAGGGATTCGCACTGACCTCAAGTGTGAATGAGTAATGTCATCTCAAAGAACAGCTGCTAGCTCAAGATTAACTTCTAATAGCTAGCGGGTGCTCAAGCACACCACAGACTACAAGACAAATCACAACCACAGCTTGATACTTTACCCGGAGGAACGCGCCGTCCAGAGAGAGCGCTCCCAGCTCCCCAGAACCCTCTTCTGCTGACGACCTCCCCACAGCGACAGCTACTGTCCCGGCTTCCAGCACCACCAATGAGTCTTCCTATGTTTGCATTTTAGATAAATGGAAGCACCTGAAGTATCTTTTTAAAAATATTCAGTTATTAACGCAGACAAGAACTGGGGTACAGACCAGAGGTGAGGGGCAGTGAGATGACTCACCAGAGACAGAGTGGGGAGCCGAACAGGCAGACTGACTGAAACACACTGCTGAGAGGAGCAGCGGGGAGACAGAGAGGTCTGCTGCGCCCTGGGGGTCACTCCCTGGCGGTGACTCCAGAAGGGGCTTGTGCTTCACAGTGCTGCGCTTTAACTCACTGCACCACCAGGGAGGGCCGGCACCTCAACTATTTTGAATCTGGGTGTTTTTTTGTTTGTTTTTTGCCCCACTCGTTTCTGAGGTTCCTCCATACTGCTGCACGTGGTCACAGCACGTTTGTTCTCTCTGTGGGTCGTATTTTCATTGACGAGTAGGTAAAAACGCATTTATCGGTTATACCACATTACTTATCATTTGGGACTGTTACACATACCGAAAGCATGGATATGAACCCTTTTGTAAAGCTGCTTCAGGCTCTGTTTCTGTTGGTTCTGTGTCCACGGCAGAAGTGCAGCGTCACGGGTGAGCCATTGCCCACCTCGAGAGGACACTGCCCACGTTTCCCTCGTGAGTTAGGTGGGCTAACTCAGCACAGCAGCCCTCCGCCACGCCCTCAGCGCTCCAGGTCATCTGCTTCTCCTCCTGCTCCACTCCAGCTCTGACTTCACTTCCCTGATGTTGTAGGGTCCTCTGAGGTATGTGTTCAAGGGCCACATGGAGTCAACTTTGATGTAGGGGCTTGTTCAAGGTTCAAGTGTTGCCTAGTTGAGCTCTCGGGATGTCTGTTTTCTGTTTTGACTTGTAGAAGTTCTTTATACCTTCAGGATCTGATTCCTTTGTCACATATATTATGGCTCTCTTCTCCCACGCTATAGATTTTTTAAGGTACTTTTTACTAACATTGTGGTTAAGTTTTGTACAGTATTTGATTTCTCTCCTCAGGTGCAATATCCAGAGTTTCTCATCAGTGCCCGTGATCCATCACCATAATCTACATAGTCTATGGATGTTTTATTTTTTTGATATTTATTTATTTATGCATGTAAGAACTGGGGCATACAGGCCAGAGGTGTGGGGGATGAGAAGATTCACCAGAGACAGAGGGGGAGCAGAACAGGCTGACTGACTGAAACACACGGCTGAGGGGAGCAGCGGGCGGGTCAGAGGAGAGACGTTTGGTCAGAGGAGGTCTGCCGTGCTCTGTGGGTCACTCCCTTCCTGGGGATGGAACTCGAACACGTGCTGCAGCGGCTTGAGAGAGCTTCGCAGCGCATTAACACGCTGCGCCATCAGAGGGGGCCCAGCCGATGGATGTTTTCATTCCTTCAGCAGCACTTGACTCATAAGCAGTGACCTTTGTGTAATCTCTCTGGGCCTTGATCTCTTCTTGTAAGGACACCAGACACCGTGGATTAAAGCTCGTGCAGATGACCTCCTTTTAACTTCATTACGTCTTTGAAACTCCTATTTTTAAACATAGAATGTCCCATTCTGAAGCGGGTAGGCTTTCAACATGTGGAATTGGGAAGAACACGGTCAGCCTATAACCGTGGGATGGATTTACCATGAAAAAGAACTTATAGTTACATGAAAAAGGAGACTTATAGTTACATTTATTTTCTAACTCAAAGTCTGAAGCTTTACGAATGCTGAATAAGCGATTGAGCCCCCCCCAGCTGAAGTCAGCACGCCTGGGGGTACCTGCTCAAGGTTCCCGCTGGAGAAGCAGAACTACAGAAGGTGAGCACCTGCCCAAAGCCTCAGGCTGCAGTGGACAGCAGGGAGTGGCTGGCAAAGACAGGGCGTCCTGGATGTTGAACTTCAACTTGAGTGTGTATACATTAGATCACAGCTGAAACTAAAGGGAGGCGACATTGGCTGGCCTGGGGGTGAGACCCCAGAAGCCGTGGATGCAGGGTGTGGTCGGTTGGCAGATGGGCAGGAGTCGCACAAAGACAGAGCAGGTGTAAGAAACCACCAGGGACAGCTTCAGGGGCCAGGGACACTGCGGGCGGGGTGCTGTCGTCTCCTCCCTCGGTGTCCCCCTGTCCCACCAGGTCTCCGTCCACTGAACAGCAGCCCCTTCCTGGTCAGCATCCAGGCCACCCTGCCCCTCCCTGGACAACCCTCAATGACTCTTGCCAGCTTGCTGCATCGGTGTGGCCCAGCCTGGAGAAGACACGGCACAAAGCCACAGCAGCGTCTCAGTGGTCACGCGTGGGAGACCTCTGTTGCCATCAGCCCTCAGTCCGGCACCTTGTTTCTGCAGCCACCTTGGCCTGTGCCAGGTGATTTTTTAGTGTCTATACAAGACGGATACACCATTGAAGAGGGCCCTGCCTGGTGGCGCTGTGGGTTAGGACGCAGCACTTGAAGCTTGCTGCAGCCGCTTCAGGGCAAGTTCAATCCCCGGCCCCGGAGGTGACCCATAGGGCGCAGCAGACCTCGCCTGTCTCCCCTTGCTCCCCTCAGCAGTGTACTTCATCCATCTGCCTGTTCTGCTCCCACTCTGCCTCTGGTGAATCCTCTCACCCCCTGTATCTCTTATCTGTACTCCAGTCCTGTATGCATAAATAAATAAATCTTTAAAAAAAAACTATTGAAGAATGACTACAGCATGGACATCAACCAGTTAGAATAAATGCCAATTGGTGATTCCCGCCGGGTCATGGCAGTAGCGTCCCAAGAAGGGGTGGGAGTTGGCAGAGTTGGGAGGAAGCAAGACCCCAGGCCGGATCAGCAGCTATTCGGGGGCACCCAGGTGCTTCGGCCTTACCGTGCCTGTATGCGCTTGGCTCCTAGGCACAGGAGGAGGGCAGTGTGGACATCACGCGGCTGGAGCAGTCCATACGAGCCGGGTGAGGTTCACAGTCAATGGGGACAACCAGCTGTGGCTGTTGATGTCGTTTGTCAAGGTGCTGTCTCAGGGCTACAGGGCCACACTTGCTCAGTACAGGTGTTCGCCACATCAGTGCCAGCAACACCTGCCAGCCTAGTGCTGACCCTCCCGCTGGAAAAGAGGCCCAAGATGCGCTCCACCCACCAGCACACAGCAGCGCCACCTCGCCCTAGACGCTGCCCACCTGCCTAGGTGCAGCACGTTTCCTGCAGGGCCTTGTGACAGCCATCCTGCTGCACCGCAGACACGCCGGGCCCTCAACTCCTCAGCCCTGCTGACAGAGTGAGCACCATGCGGGCGGAAGGCTGAAAAGCCACGAGGATGCAAATCCTCCTACTTATAGAAATCCGTTTTTTAAAAATGTCCACAGACCACATCTCACTCAACTTTGTCATGTCAACTGCAGCTTGGAAGCCCACACAAAGCAATTTGTGTGTAGGAGACAAATGTATGCAGAGTTCTGAAGATAAACAGACCAATGCAACCATTTCTGGGGCGGACTAGAGAGGCCATAAACCACGATCAGTTAATGAAAGTTCTTTGCCAGTTAAAACCAGAGAGTCACAGCCAGCGCACAGTGAGCATGAAACGTTTTAAAGCCCCATTTCCGTGTTTTCTGTTGATTTGCTTACCTGCTGTTGGTGTTCAGCTACATGTCACGTCAGAATCCCACGGCTGATTCCCCAAGCCAGCCAGCGTTCAGGACACATATTTGAATTGGGACATTCCAAAGAGGCTGTGCAGCAATTTTAACAAGATGTGCCAAGCCTCTTACTCTTCAACACAGGTGTTCACTAAGAACCCGTCCATGCTTGCTTTGCTAAGACACCTAGTAGGCTTCCAGGTCCACCACAGCAGGAGAACAGCAGAAAATTAGAAAGGAGTGAAAAGGCTCTTTCCCCCTCACCCCTGGGCTCAGCAGCCCAGGACCAGAGGGCTTGGGCCCTGAGTGGCGCACTTGGCTCCACTCTCAGGTGAGGCTGAAAGTCCGAATCCCAATTGTCTAAGTGACCATGGTCGAAAGAAACCTCCGTCCAGGCAGCTGCTGCCCAGGGAGGACAGGTGAGACGGCCTCCTCCACCCACCTCCAGTTCTCTGACATGAGGCAGAACTAATACTTGTGGGGAAAACATTCTTGCATGCATGGATTTTGAATTGGGCGCCTACTGTAGCCAGGACAGTGTAAAGGGCAGAGGATGAATAAAGAAGTTCTACCTCTATGGAACTTAGATTCTCCAAGGACGAAAGGGAACAGGTGGGGTGTGGGTCTGCAGCTTAATTTTACCATGTCCCTGGGGCTTGCAGCCAGGGACGTGGGCTGTGGTGAGGAGTGGCCACCTGATTTCTAGGGTGTGGTAGACCCTAGAAAGCAGAGATCCAAGTCGAAGATCTTGACCTCAGAGTGCCTGCAGGTGAGCACAAGAGCCTGCCTTCCTGGCAGAGCTCTCGGAGAGCTCTGCCCAGCGTCCAGGGCACCTACAGATTTCCATAAATCCCACTGTAGAGTGAGCATCTAGGTCATTCTGCTTAAGGTAACCAGGACGTGTGCAGCATTTTACAAGACGGTTTATTGAATGGTGCTTAAAGGAAAAATATCTCCTTTCTATGGAAAACTACCACCCCATATCTCCGTTCCGAAGCAAAGTTTCCTATCCTAGATCCACAGGCGGACTGTAACCAGTATCCACTTTACCCATTACGTCGTTTAGAGAGCGTTGTACAGTTTTCTGGTAGGTGTCAGAGTGTGAAAATTTAAATGAATCCACACACTACAAGCCAGAGAGAGACGCCAGGACGACCCCCTTTCCTGGGTTGGCTCTGGTGCGTCTCTTCTGTTTCGGTTGCTGCCAGCTACCAGGTTGCTAGGCGCCCGGACGGCTTCCCTGAAACCACCGCGGAGAAGGACCAGAGGGCAGGGGGCGGGGCTAATTCCTAGTTCCCGGCCGGGGAGGGCGGAGCCTGCGGGGAGGGGCTCGCGCCGAAGGGCGGGGCCTGGGGCGGGGCCAGAACCGAGGGGCGTGGCCCGCGTGCGCCTGCGCAGCTAGCCCCGCTCCAGAGGCGGAGGCGACGCGCTGGAGTGAAGATGGAAGATTACCAGGCTGGCGAGGAGGTAACGGCCGGCGGCGACGGGAGGGTGGAGGTCGGGACCCCGGGCGTGTGGGGCACCCGGCCAACGTCTGGACGTGCGGCTGGCCGTCTCCGGCGCAGGCGGGCAGCACGACGCCCCGCGGGCACTTGGTGGCGAC